TTAAAAAACTAAAAAGAAACAGGTGAAATTGATTTTATAATACATTTTATTTAACCCAATATATCCAAAATAGTCTCATTTCCATATGTAATGAGTACGAAGCTTACATTCTTTTTTTTCATACTAAGTCTTCAAAATCTGGTGTGTTTGACACAGCACATCTCAATTCGTACTAGCCACATTTCAATAGCCACAGGTGGCCAGTGGCTAATGTCTAGGACAGTGTGGTTTTAGAGCCTCTGAATTCTCTGAATGTATCACTCCAGGATAAAGCAATAACATTCACAATAGTTTGAAAATTCTTTCAGGGTGTTCTTAGAACAGCAAATGAAGCCCATCCTTGGAACTCAGGTTAAGAATTCTTGCTCTTAAGATCCTTCAAACTTTAAAAAGATATGGTGCTTCTGTCCTCAGCAAACACTGATGAGGTAGCCTTTGCTTCTGTCGTATACACGTGGGGCATACCGGCCAATCAGAGCGCTAAGGGCTGCTGCTCTTTCTGTCTCTGTGTTCTTGTCACCAGCTCCCCCAACATTACTCCCTATGCTCTCCCTGCTCTTGCTTCCAATTGTTACAGAGGTGGAGGAGAAAAGAAGAAAACACATTAGAATTAATAGAGACTTCTTGTTTTAGGCTGTCAGATTAACCAGCATGGCCTGTACTAGGTGTTCTTTGTGTTTGTGACAGGGGTTTATGGATAAGTAAGAAAGAGGATTTGTACTCAAATATCAGAAACATTCTAATGCTTTGCTGGTTACACTGTGCACACTTTTATCTCCTGCATTGTCCTTTTCCAAATCATTTGTCCTCTGGTAGATCTTGACAAGGCGCCTGCACAAAATTAACAGGCATGCAAAGCCTGGATGAGCAAAATTGATTTGTCTATAATCTGTGAAGAGATCAGGATGTGGTTGAAGTGATTTTAATTTCAGAGCCCAAGTCACTAGTCTGTCTTTTTGTCAGGCAATTAGTCCCACTGACTGGGCAAGAATGCCGTGATGCACAGTGCCAGGGGAAGCAGGCAAATGGAAACAGCAAATCCTTTTCTGCTTCCTCGGAGTGTTCCTCATGCCAGGCTTCTTTTGTCTCTCTAGTTTATTTTGGGTAAAATTCGCTGCTTGGCACCAGGCTCCATGACTTCCCTAGGGCACAGTGCTGTGACAACATGACATAGGCATATAGGTGGCCAAAAGGACAGGCCTGGGGGCCAGATCTGTGTGTGAAAGTTCTGGACAAGGACCTGAAGGGAGGTGAACAGCTGGAGGAAATCCTAACAGTAGTTGCTGCTTCTGGACTACCCAGCGGTGTGTTAAGATCTTCACACATGGTGTTTCATTTTAGTCTTCTCAACAATCCCCAATGTTAATCATCAATACCCTCATTTTTCTGAAGATGAACTTGAGGGGCAGAGAGGTCAGTAATTTGGCAAAGTCATATCTCTAAGAAGTGCAAAGTCAGGGCTAAAACATGGTGCACTTAGTCCATGAACTATGGGACTTTGGGGAGGGACGAGGTGTGGATAGAAAGGCAGGATAATAGAAAGCTTAGTGAGGTGCTTCTACCTGCTCAGCAGGGACTCTGTCTTGCTCTGGTAAGTATCCTCCACACCCAGCTGAATCTGGCTCATCGAAGGCACAACATAGGCACATAGAACGGCACCACTCTATTTGTTTAGTGACTGGAACACATTACCCCATCTGACTCTCACAATGACCATGAGAGGTAACAAGGAAAGGTATTATCATCTTTATTTACAATTACTTTACCTGAACTAAAGAAACTATCTCACATTCCCAAAACTGATTTAAGTAAGTTTCTAAGTTGTTTCAATCATTGGGGCAATAACTTACCTATAGAGATTGCAAGCTCCTGGAAGCAGGGACCATTTTTATACATTTTTGTGTACATCTCCCGCAGCTCAGATAGACATTTCTATGATCACAGAAAGTTCTGTTGAACAGTGCAGCCCTACAGGAAAGCAGGGGCCAGCTGGTAACAATCTAACATAATACCCTATTTCAAAGCCAGAAGTGGAATTTAAAAATTTTTGAATAAATAAATGAATGAATACCACAATGGAAGTATTTTCTTAATATAGAATGAGCTAATTATGGTGATCAGTCATAGGTTAAATTAGTGTTTTCCATGGCAGTTGACTCCATTTTTCAAAATGAATCATCAAAAAGAGCAAAATAATTCATTTCTTAAAGATGTCAAAATGCAATATTAAATGTCATGGTAAGTAATGGCAAGGTGCTGGAGTGGGTTAGTCAGTGATTAGAATTATCTAACAGTCATTTAAAAACAAAGCAAGTGCAGTGTTTATGCCAATACAGCATTTAAATAGTCAAAACGAACGCTACTTAGATAATGAATTGATTCATATTTACTAATAACACATTTCATTTACTTTGTACCATTTTTCATGAAGCTTAAACTGTATTGTGGTTATTATTTTAGTTAATATCATGTCATCTATTTATGCCAAGAGACTGGCATTGCCTTTTAAAAATGACAGAGAAGTCAAAGGCTCAGCACATTAAGGTTTTTATTTACTGTGATACCCAGCCAGCAAGTGGGATATTCTGAGTCCACTTTACTTGCCTTGTGCTGGCCTCACCTATAACTTTTAGGGACACTTGAATAAAAAAGGAATAGTAAAACAGATGCCACAAAGGCTTGGCTTCTTGTACTAAATTTCCCATAAAGCATAGAGTATCTTAAATTGTTAGATGCCCTAACCAGTCTATTAGGGAAGGAGTATGTTTTATTAGTTCAGCATTTTGGTATTTTATGAGAACATGGCAAAGGCTGTGGTACATTTAACTCTATTCAGTCCTGACTTTAAGCAATCTCATCTATGAGAATGGCTGTCTTTCACTAAGACTGAGCTAACACAGTTTGGGTAGGGGGTGCATATTGCCAGCCTAAAGCCCATTCATTCATTTATTGGAGGTCTATAAGTGCTGGACACTGGGAACACAGTGATGAATACTACACAGCCCCTGTTTTCAAGGAGTTCATAGTCTACTGGAGGCTCAGGCAAGGAGACCCACAATTACCACTGAGGGTGATCGTTAACGGGACTGCTAACAGAGCCATGTTGTTGTTCAGCCTACGGGATAAGAAAAGACTTCCCAGGAATAAAGTAATAAATAATATCATGAAGCCTAGATAAAGGTTATTCAGGTGATGAGAGAGGGAAAGAGAGTACAAGAAAGAGTGTAAAGCTTGATTGGGACTGTGGCAAGAAGTGTAGTGTCACCAAAGCATAGAGATTCCAGGGGCCACAGAAGGTAGTATGGTAGAAGGAGGCTCTAGAGTTGTGCTGTCCAATATGGTAGCTGATAGCCACATTTGGCTATTTAAATTTAATTTTAAGTGAATTAAAATTAAATAAAATTAGAAATGCAGTCCCTCAGTTGCACTGGCCATATTTAAAGTGCTCTATAGCCACTTGTGGCTACTGTATCAGACAGTATAGATATGCAATATTTTCATCATCACAGAAAGTTCTACTGTGCATTGCTGCTCTAGAGGCTGGCAGGGGCCAATTGGTGATGAGCTTTGAATGCCATGTCAAGGTCTTTGGACCTTATTTTGAGGACAATGAGATGCACTGAAGGATTTTATACAGGGGAGTAGAATGATCAAATTTATAAGTAAATAAAGTCACTCTGCAGGGCACAAAAGAGGTTAGAGAGAGGCAAGGCTAGGAATTAGAGAGACTAGTAAAGAGAATATTGTGTTAATCAAGGCAAGAGCTGGTGGGAACCTGGAATAGATAGTATAAGAGTATATAGATTCAACAAATATTAAGAAATAGAATCAACAGGACATATTAAAAAATATGGAGCAGTGTCTGAACAGATGCGGAGGGTAAGGAGACATTGAGGTTGATCCCTGGCTTGGGCAGATAGTGAATGCATGTACCAGTAATCTGGACAGGGAAGAACAAGGGAGAGAAATATGTCTGGGGAGGAGTAGTGAAAAATTCAACTTTATTTTTGCTATATTTGAGGTGTACAAGGAGGCATCCATGCGAGCTGCAGAAGGCATTTAAATAGCCAGATGGGAAGCACAAGGGGCAAGTCTGGGCTAGAGATAAAGATTTTGAAGTCATCACCATGTGCATGACAGCTGAAGCCATGGGAGCGGATAAGCTCCCTGAGGGAGAAAGTGTGGAGTGAGAGGCTGAGGACTGAACCCAGAGAATACTGATGGTGAAGAGACCAGCCTAAGAAGAGGAACCCAGGGAAACAGCCAGTGAGGAAGAAAGACAGCCAGGAGACAGTAATGGGATCCAAGCAAAGAGAGTATTTTGGGAAAAAGGAGTGGTCGCCATGGCAAATGCTCCAGAGAGCACAATAAGGTAAGGCTTGAAAAGTGTCAACATGATTTTACAAGAGTAAGGTCAACGGTGACTCTGGAGAAGGCACCTCCACGGGAATGATGGTGACAGAAGGTGCATTGCAGTGGGTGGAAGAGTGAATGGCAGTCGAAGAAGAAGTGACAGCAAATATCGACAACTCTTTCAAGAAACTTGGTGGTGAAGGGCTTTAGAGATGACTTTGCTGTACTCTTTCTATCCACTGTGCCACTTTCAAATGTCTACCTCGCGTTAGAGATGTTTGTACGCTATCTTATGCTCTATACGTCTCTAAGCACATCGAAGGTACAGATGGGTCTTCTATATCTTTACATCTTCACTGTTTCTGGTCTAAGTTTTGCGTGTAGAAAATGCTCTGTGGATATTTGTTTAATGACTTCCCAGCTTTTAAATGTTCAGGCTCTTGTTGGACTTAAATAAATATAAAGTGTGTATTTTTTTCACATGTTTTCCCGATTAAACAACTTTCTCTTTCTCTGGTTGAATGAAAACGTCTCAGTTCCAGTCTATAAAAGATGGTATGTCCATGATTTAATTGAATCTCATATTTCCAGGAAATTTTGTGAGTTGGGGGGATTTAAGAAAAAAAAAAAACAGAAGAAATACACCTAGGACAAATATGTTTTCATAAAAAATTTTATTATGATTATTTACACCAGTTCCTTGATAAGCATATAAATGTAAACTTTTATTATTGGCATTATTTTACATATGGTTTATCCAAATTCAGAGTTAATGCTGTCGTTTGAGTGTACAGGTAGTGAGAAAAGTTTGTTATATTCACAGAATATACACGCACGTGCATTCGACACGTGTCCCTCTCTAGGCCAGTGGTATTGACACTGTCCCATTGGCTCTGCTTCTGCCTCGCAGGTGCACACCGGCATCAATCACGTCCTCCACATGCTCCTCGCTCTTCTTTTCCTTCAGACTGTTGATGAATCTCAGGGTAATTTCATCCCACTCCTCAGGCAGCAGCATCAGCAGAAACCCGATGCAGATGATGATGGTGGCAGCCAGGCGGACAACGTTGAATATCACCTCCTGCTTCAGGAGATCCACAGCTAGGAAAGAAGCAGCAAGTCAGTTACAGCCTGCGACTGCATCTAAGTTTCTCTGAAAACAGGTGACCAAAGTCACTGTTACTTCTAGAGATTCCCAAAAACCTTCTTTATTCTTTCAAGCTGATGTTTCCTTTGTCCATGTCACTTTCTATGTTTGCTTTCCAAATTCCATCTTTCTAAATCGTATTTATCCTTCAAGGTTCAATTCAAATCCCATGTCATCTGACTTAACTACCTCCCCAGTTTTCTCTCTCAATCCTTTTCCTCTGCTTCCCTTCACCATTCTCCAGTTTCATTGCACCCCTGGAGATTTTTCAAATGAGCCAAACTTGTTCATGTCTAGGTCTTTGTATTATCTCTTGTTTTTTAAAGTTTAATTGAGGTGAAATTTATATAATATAAAATTAGCCATTTCGAAGTGAATTTAGTGGCATTTAGTACATTCACAGTGCTGTGCAACCACCGCCTCTATCTGGCTCCAAAACATCTCCATCACTTCAAAATAAAATCCCCTTCCTATTAAGAAGTTATTCCGAATTCCCTCACTCCTACTCCCTAGACCCTAACAGCCACCAATCTGCTTTTTTTTGTGTGTGGATTCACCAATTTCATATAAATGAAATATTTCATGTTCTTGATATTTCATGTAAACAGAATCACACAATATGTGACCTTTTGTAACTGGCTTCTTTCACTTAGCATGATGTTTTTGAGGTTCATTGATATTGTAGCATGTGTTAGTACTTTCTTTCTTTTCATGGCCAAGTAATATTTCATTGTATGCATCACAATTTGTCCATTCATCTGTTGATAGACACTTGGTTGTTTCCACTTTTTGGCTATTGTAAATGGTGCTGCTATGAACATTCATGTGCAAGGATATGTTTGAATCCCTGTTTTTAATTTTTTGAGTATATACACAGAGTGGAATTGTTGGTCATATATATGCTGTTCTTTTTGCATGGGATTCCCTTCCCTCCTCACATTCCAGTTTATCCAGCTAAACCCTCCCTTAGATATCTCTGTTTAGTCTTCTTGCAGGATGGCTCTTGGATGTCCCTCCCCTGTGTCCTAATAGCATTCAGTACATACCTCTATCAAAGCAATTCTCCCTGAATTGCTGGAGAATTCTCCCTGGAGAATTACTAAATCCCTTTTGTCTCCCTCTCTGTGCTACATGGTCCTGAGGACAGGAACTGTGCCTTATTCAAGATCTATCACCAGTTCCTGTGCCAACTGCCTAGAATCTTTGTTGAATGAATGAATCCATGGGTGAATGAATGAACTCCTTGCCAACTCCACTCCCCTCTGATATTCCTTTCCTCTGAATATCTTATAGCCCCTGGAGTCTGTCTCACACAGTTTGGCATTTAATAATAAATTGCTCTGTAGAGTTCCCAGTTGCTTCATGTAGGTTGGTCTTCTTTTCTAGATTCAATTGTAAGCGCCTTAAGTGAACAACAATGTAATTTTTTTCTTGTCTTTTTTATTACCCTGACCACATAATACATGCTCAATAAACATTTGCCAATTATCCTGCAGGAAAGAAAGGTGGCTACTTAAGACTTGAAATCACAGAATTTACAGTTAGGAGGATTATACAGTTATCCAGATAACCCATTGTCATTACTTGTTTCACTGGCATGTTCCACTGGAAAAATTATCCTGGAAAAATGGCTTCTCCTCTTGTCCCTGAAGTGAGTCAAATTGCTTTTTCCTCCTATCTGTTCCCGAGGGCAGCCTGCTCTGCCCCCAGGAGAAGCTTCTGCAACTCCCATGGATAGTCCGATGGGGAGCCAGCACCCTGTTCATCTCCTACACTTTCATTAGTGATGCGTAGTTGAAAGTCCTATGCTGGGATGCCTTTTGTTTCCATAGGACTTTCTCTAAAAATACCACAAAATTAGGTTGTCAGGGAGATTACATGAAACCCAAATGATACATTTGGTGTTTAATTCTAAAAGCACATCCAAGTAAAAACAGTGTTTCTGTAGCTGCAAATTTTAAATCTGCTGCATAGTTATTCTGTTGTCTGCCACCTTCATGATATTTAAAAACATCTTTCCAGGCAAGGGACATAATTCACTATTGCTGGAAGGAGCAGCTCAGGGCATCAAACAAACAAGGGCGGGAGACCTGTGGGGGTCAGAATCTACAATGTCAAGTCACACCAGTACCTGCATTTCCAGGAACGCTGAGCACTGTCCCAATGGAGATTAGGATTGGGTATGTCAGCACCACACCGACGTTCACCAGGATGTTGAAGGCTGTAAAACAAGGGAGCATATCCAGGATGAAGGGGAATTGACATGCTGGGCTCTTTTCTTCTTACCGTGAAAGAATCGGTGTCATTGCTAAACGTGACTTCTAAACTGTCTGCACCGTCGGTCAGTTAATCCCCTGAGTTTGGAGATGGAGGCATGTGTATCTTGCCTGAATCAGTCATATTCTTTGTTCCTCCCCTGCCACCCTGGTTGCCAATGGGCTGGCAAAGGTGTATGGAGCAAATGCAAAGACGTGAAATAATCAATTCGCTCGTCTGCTTTTTAGCACTATAAAGGTAGGTTGGGGCTAGGCAGAGGTTAAAAGCTGGTGATGGATTGAAGTTCTGTGCTTTACCTCTTTATTCCTTTGCTATTTTATGCCATATTCCTGGACATTAAAAGGCTCTTAGTGTTACTGCCTAAAGGAAGGTTTATTCACTGATGGCTTATCCCGTTTTATCCCTCTCTCTTGAGGTGAGCATCATAGGGGCAATCAAGGGTGGGTTCAATGTAATTCACTGAATTCCAGGGACTGTTTCCACATCCTGATTGGTGCACAGGTAATCAGAGGGCAGGTCCGCAGAACCAACTGCAGCTGTGGCTTGATGCTCTTTAATTAATACCTTTGGACCTCTTTAGTTAAATATAAAGTTAGTTAAAATAATCATTTATCCTCTTCAAAAATTATTAAAAATACATGTTTTCAAAGAGAAAAAGCAATTATTAATTACAGAGCATTATTTTAGTAGTGTTCCACCAAACGTTTGTTTCCGACATTAGAGAGATGAATGTTAATAACTATAAAAATCCTCAATTTAGAAAAAAATCTCTATGAAAATGACTCAAATATTTTGCCCATATCTCTATAGAACCAAAGAAAGTTCTGGAACCATTCCAGTTAGGATGATATGTATTCTTCCATTGTCATCTATAATTAAACCCACCAGAGTCACTTGTGCTTGGCAGTCAGAGACAATGGGTTTGACTTTCACAAGTCCTGGGCTACTTTATAATGTTCACAGAGTGATAATGGCAATCAAGGCCATTATCAAGTTAATAACTGCTCTTCCTTCTTGGCAAAGCTGAATTGTGAATGAATATTCCAGCACCTTGACTCTCTCTGCAGACTCAGAGAGTCAAATGTGGCAAGTTTTAACAGATCAGGAATTTATTAAATACAGCACAGGCTCTGCTGAACTCCTCAGCTGTCATTTTATTGGCTGAACTGGATATTTTAGCAGGCTGAGTGAAAGTATTGGTATTTGGGGAGAACTGAGCCCTTCTCACATAATAACAGCCAAGTAGCTTCACTGAAATGTGTTGTCTGTTTATCTTAGTTCTTTAGCTGGAACACTTACATTCGCTTTTGACAACCTCTGGAAAGAAATAGTATGATTCAATGTGTTATCCATAGCAGGGGCCCAGCCTGAGTGTAAGTGCAATTTGGACATGTCAGGTGAGTGGATGAGGCCAACCTGCATTTGGGTTAAGGCACTGTCTGGAAGATCAGTCAACCTGAGAGAAGGAGTGAGGCAAGGTGAAACTAAGCAAATATTAAGCCACAGTTACAGGATACGTGGGGTCTCAGAGCAAAGACTGGTGTATGTTTCCCAGTCCTGTCTCCTAGTCTAATCCCATCTAGACCATATCTGATTCCTGAAGAGAAGAGAGGAATGGAAATAAAAGCTTAGGAATAGGAGCACTGAAGATTGTAAAACCCTGTGGTGTGTAACAGTGAGGGGAAGGCTGTCTCCTTGATTTGTCATGGTACAGCATCAGCACGGTGAGCTCTGCAGTGCACTGGGGCAGGCCCAGTTGAGCAGCTGCAGTGCTGGTGCAGTGTGGAGACCACGCTGCTTGGTGGAGGACACCAGTGTCCAGCTAGCATGGGTGCCATCCAGCCTCAGCAGGCTTGTTTAGGAGCATGCATTAGACATGCCAAGGAATATACACAGGCGGAGGGCTACCTTGCAAGAAGGTAGAAATCATGTGTGCATAGCACTATAAAGGTAGGTTGGGGCTAGGCAGAGGTTAAAAGCTGGTGATGGATTGAAGTTCGGTGCTCTTGACTCTTGGAGGACCAAGAGTCAGTGAAATTTTGAGTTATACTTATTCCCAGTGTGGTTGCTTTTGGCCAGAAAATAATCTAAGCACTTTTAATGAGAATGCTTTGGTCTTATGGAAACACTGCTACTGATTTCTGCTAAACTTAACAGAGGTTATGAGAAGTGATAATCATACAATTTGGCCTTGAAAAGTAGAAACTCAAGGGTCCAACAATTCATGTCTAACCTTTCTCTTGAGTGTTTCCTGTCTGTTTAAGATCTCCCTTTAAGGGCCTGGGCCAGAGTAGAAAAAGATGACCCAATCAATACCCTTGTGGGAATAAAAATAAAGACATTTTTCTCCCAGGAATTGCAGTGCTGCTACTGTTTCAATTTATATCAGCTCGGGAGAGAAGATCAGTTGAGGGTTGGCAGATGCCCTGCAGGTCGAGTGTGGTGGGAAAATGTGGAGCCAGCAGAAGGGGCTGACCTTAGGTATGTGGAAAGAGGAGCAGAGTGAGAATAATTTCACTCTGAGTAAACAGACACCAAATCATTGGGTTGCTTCTGTTTTTTGACTGCTTGCTGAGGGAAGAGCAGGCATGTTATTTTTCAGGCTCCTCTCACATCAAGTGGCAGCACCAGCACAGCTTGAAAGCTGGAGCCTGGAGTTCAGGTGAAGCAGACAGCCTCGGAGCTATAGGAGCTGGGAGAGAAGACATTAAAAGGACTCCAGGTGACTTTTTTTCCTGGCACCAACTAGGCACAGTCTGCTCAGCCAAGACCACCGGGCCCAGTTCATGCTACCTCCTTCCCTCACCTGCTGAGGGCTTCGTATCCCAAAGCCATTGTGCATACTCAGCTAGAGTGAGCAGTCTAATATGCATATGTGAGCCTTACAAATTATTAAGTGGATTTTAAATCCTGACACTTCCACATGGATTTCCAGGCCCTTCATGACCTGCTTCCCCCTTAAAAATCATCTCCTTTCTTCCTTCCCTTCCTCTTGAATCCAGTGTTCCCATCATTTTGAACCATTCTGAGTTCCTTGAATGCACCATCTACTCTCTTGCCTCTGCCTGACACACCATGGCACACATGGAACATAATAGCATCATACAATACATCAGGAGGAATGGATGAGGCTGCTTGAAGGCCAGTGGGGGCCTGAGCCTCCACAGCTGCACCATGGGAGGCACCTAACTGGACAGCTCTGATCTTAGCCCTTGGGAGGCACCTAACTGGACAGCTCTGATCGAATCAACCAATAGCCTGCAAAGAACCTTCTAAACATTCAATGACATTAACCAATGTAAGTTTGGAAAATAGAGCACAGAGGTACCCAAGAGAATAATCCTACTATGATAATGTAAGTATCCAAAGGTAAGGTTGAATGCCATAGGGAATGGAAGGAAACATCTGAGGCCACTTACCCAGCCACAGCCCTGCCATCCCACAGAGACAGCCCCATGGCAGAGCTGCAAAAGAAGACCAGTGCTCCACCTTGGTGAAATACAAGATGACTGGCGTGAAGGAGATGAAGATCAAATTGAAGAAGCCCAAGGTGGAGACAAAGTGTGCAGCTTCACCAAAGTTGGCACTTCCAAGAAACATCTTAAACAAAACCTGGAATGGGAAAGAAATTCTTCAGACACACAGTCAGAGGATCTGCTGGAGCAGAAAGGCGAATTCTATTGACCTACACTGTGAACTAATTGGCTCAGAGTTTGTTCTCCATTTCTTCTTGCCCTGAGTCTTCATGGTACCAAATGGGCTGTTGAGATAAGGAATTAAAATACCCTACAGCCTTCACATGAAATAGCAAATGCCATGAAATGAATTCCTTATGGTGTTGAAAACTGCTGAGGTATGATAAATTGTGTTAAGTGCCACCACCTGAGATGGATGTAGGGTGAATGATAAATAAGACTACAGACAAGCTCAGAAAAATATTCTAAGATCGACATGCCATCAGTCCTTCTCGTCAAGCATAGGATGCATTTCATCCTTATTTTGACAGATACTAAAAACTAAATTGGACAGAGGGACCCTGTCATTATGTTGTTGAAAGAAATAGTAATGATGTCTTAGATTTATAAGCAATTTTCTTTCTGAGATAAAAAGGTCTTCACAAACATTGTGTTCATTTCCCACATTTGAAAACAATTTTGAAAACAATTTTTTTCCTGGATTATAAACCTGTGTACAGAGGAAGGATGGCAAGTAGAGGTAAGTGGCTGACAGAACAGGCTGGGGATAAAGCCAGGTCTACAGTCCATGTTTCTCAGCTCCTTAACCCCTCTTCTCCCTACACAAATCCTTTAACAAACAATGTAGAATGGAGCAGATCTTTTCTGCCTGGAATTACGGTGCAGATATGATTTTGTGCACATCAGCAAATATTATCACTGTCAGAATGAATACATTTTGTAGCCTGGTTGGGAGAATTGTCTCTGTAAGAATTCTCTTTGTAGCCATTGTGGTCATATACAATCCCAGGTACTGCTTTTAATTTCAACTGAACTTAGTATTTTTTTTTCTCTTGAAAGACTTGAGCATGAGCTACTCTTTGGTCACATGAGACATCTTGGTGGAATCTCAGTTGGGGAGCAAGTTAGACACTAATGGCCATTGAGTGAACACTTGTCAAGCTTGTCACACAGAATCAATGGGCCAAGAAATGTCAATGTGGCAATAGACTTCCTGCCCTTTGAGCTCTAGTGTTAGTGAATAATCAGAACAGGCATCCAGGAGGGATGAAAGGGGTATTTTCTGTCTTTCAGAGAGTGTTTTCTCATTGAAACACCAAGAGAGGTGAAATCAGAGCAGTTATTTAATACATCCAGAGAGTTGGCTTTTAAAAGTAGTGCTTTGGAAAATAACCTTTTAGGTCTGCTCTCTTAGTCCTTGCTTCTGAAGTTAGGTGCAATGTCTCTGAATAGAATTTTCACTAATGACAGGGAACTCCAGTGGAGAAAGAATGGTGAGTATACATAGCAGATTCAGAGTATCCATCAGAGAGAAAAAGAGGTTCTTCATTTTGCTAGTCACACAAGGTCCTGTGGCATGGGGTTAATACGTAGCAAACAGTAAGCTCTCAAGTGACAGCTTGTTCATTATTTCTAACACCCCTTTGGAGTTAAAATTATGACCATAGATAGTTAAATTAAAGAAACATAAAAAGAGGAGAAGCCTTTCTGACACCCCTGCCATAACTGCCTGGTGACTGGGGGGCAGGGGCATAGCACGTAGGCTTAGGAGTTGGCTGCTCTACAGTTTAAATCTTGGCTCTATCACTTCCTGGCTGTATGACCTTAGGCAAGTTACTGAACCTTTCAAAGCCTCAGTTTCCTCATCTGGAAAGTGGGAATAAGTGTTTATGTCTCATAAGGTTGTGTTAACCCAGGCAAAATTTTCTGGCAGGTGCCTAGCACATAGCAAGTACTCAATAAATGGTACTTACTAATATTTTAACACAGGTAATTTTTTTTTGAACCAAGTTTTTCATTGTACTTTCTTGCTTTATTACTTAAGTCAAAGCTATAAGGGATGGTTGAGTAAAAGAAAGTGTATAACATACCTTATATAATGCAGATGTAGAGGCTGAGCCCACTGCAAATGCTACTCCTATGATCGAATCAGCATGGAAATTATCTGCATATGCCATCATGACGATGCCAGTAATGGCCATTATTGCAGCAACTATCTGTCGAATAGAATGCAAAGAAATAGAAAAAAATTGATGCCTCTGTATCTCAGAGCAAGCAATTCAAGACTTCATGAAAGTTGTTAAGTACTACTTTAAACCTAATTACCTCTTGGACATTGCTGTACAAATGTAGGAAGGCTCAGTATTATAAATGAATCAGTATGCTCATGAGAAATACAGGCATAGAATATAAAAAAGCTGCCCACATTCTAACTAAGGGCCAGTAGTTTTATTTTTTACTGACCTTTTTATTAGGACTAGTAATTTTGGTTTAGTATTTTAGCTTAATTTTCTAGAGATTAACATCCATATTGGTGAAATAAATTTAATAGGAAGTCACTGCTAAGCATTTTCATTTATTCTGTATTCTTTTTCTCCAAACAATTTAGCATACATTTTAATCAGGTCTTTGGATCAAAGTATGTTTCTGAAAATGTCCACATAACTGGAACTTGATTAAGGAGAAATAATATTGATATAGCTAAGAGGCAAAATTTAGGCCAAGGGGAAGAAAAAGGGAATAACCTGTCACAGTGATCTGAGTCTATGCTGTCACTTGGCATGTCAAATGGAAGCTGGTTCTTCATTTTGTTTACATGCAAATTAATTCAATTTTTAAGGAAAACCACTGCATGATTATTTAATTATTCTAGAGCATTAACTTAAGCATAAAGCAAAATTTTCATAATTCAACTGAAGTCATAATGGTTTACTGTAAATTGACATGATCCTTGGTGTATTTGGAGCAGTAGTCCACTACCTTAATGAAATGCAGGTTTGCATCTGTTTCCTTAATTGTCTTGGATTGGTTCTACTGAAAAACATGTCAAAGCTGCAGCAAACAGTAAAATAACAACCTTAGAATAAGGAACAATATGTATGTTATTTCCTTGTGAAACAGTCTCACTGATTTTTAAATCAAGATAAAAATTTGTGAGAAATTTAAACCCGCATGGTGATTAATTTTGCTAAGCTTCAGTTCTGAGTATTCCCAGGTAAATAAATTCCTCTGTAATAGCTTTTGCCCATGTGTGATTTTTTTGGAATTTTTGAACATTATTGGTAAGTTATTTATCATAACAAAATGGAGATCTTTAACGTGTAACTAGACTCGCTGGAGTCCAGTGCAAAATATGGTCCCAATGATACAGAATTCAGATGCTGCTTAAGTAAGTCTTTTGTTAATGACCACCAAAAGCAAGTGCCTGGCTGGTTTCAGAGTAGCTCCAGACCAAAGGGTCCTTTATGAAAAACAGCAGGAGTAGTTGAGGACAGACGCCAATGTGTCAGCAGTGAAAAACTATCTTCATAAAACCTTATCCAGGAAGCTGCTTGATGGGAGGTGTTTTTCTTGCTGAGTGAATATCATATTCTCTGAAGCTGCTGGGCATGTGTTCTAGTTAGACTCTGCCTCAAACTATAGGGAATAGAATTTAATACACACACCATGAGACGTCAAGGAAATTTTTCTAAACAAGAAGTAATGGACTCATAAATAAACATGGTGAGGGGGTTATCTAGACCCAGAAATTCTGTGAGGGTTATCATTTTCCTTGATTTGGGGATTTATATTTCAGCTAGGAATTTACAACAATTCTTTGAGTGATCTGATTTCAGAAAAATAAAAAGGCACATTAGATGCTGGCATTTTCTGATTTGTTTTTGTGTCTAAATAATGTTCCGAGGTTAAACTGTTCATGTGCACAGATAGATTTTCCTCTTGAGACTGCACTTGTAAAATAATAAATTTGAATTAACATTTGTTTTCTTTTGGCCAAAACATCAGCTGTATTTTCTTGGTTAAATAAATAGGTAGTTACTTCAAGACAAGGTTAACAGAACATAGTGTGAATCCTAATGAACTTTAACACAATGTGCTGTTTCATATTTAAAATTATTGAAAGTATTCTACCATATAGAACGTATGAGTTTAGGCAATTGTGCAAACAAACAGCCCATTAAAGAACCCAGAAGCAAAAACAAAAAACATTGTCTGGAAAATGATGAACATTAAACACAATTATCCCCAGGATATGACCACAGGTGGGAACTCTTCCTTTTCTGAGTCAGCCATTAGTAAATATATATATATATACACATATATATATATACACATAAAATTTCTATAATAAACTTTCTCAAGATAGGCATTTGATATAGCTGAAGATTACCTAATTTCACAGCAATTCAAAATTATAATCTTAGTGAGCCTCTTAAAGGTCTCCATTACTTCTTGTATTCAAGTGCTTGTGAAAATATTAGCCTGGCCCACTTAAATCGACGTATCTATTATACCAGTGTCTCTTTCAATTGCCTTCACATAGAGAAGCATTTTTTCACTTTAAGGGGCCAGACAATACTGTTAGTTAAGTTCCAAAGGCATGAAAATCTGAATATTTGAGATGCTAGAAAAATCTTCTTCATAGTAGGAGCAATATTTTATAGATTATATAGTACATTCCTGGTGGGGGGATAAATAAGTTAAATTATTTGCCACATTTTAATTTAAATTTCCCAACTATCTGATAGAACAAATTCTCTATGGCCATATTTTAAGAAATTTTCAATATCTTTCTTATGTATACAGTTGGAACTAAAAGAAGGGATCTCAGCTAATTTTGAAAATGCAAGGAAGTGTTAGGTGCAAGGCCTATTTACAGTGGCCCTTTGGATGATCCCAGAGTAGCTCTGCTTGGCCACATTGGCTTAACTGTAGAGGGTACATACTCTTTAAATGCCCAGAGAACACACAACTCAAGCACAGATCTGAGTCATATGCACTTCCAGAATTACTCGGTCATCAGAGAAGGATTGATAGTCTATCTTCTTCTCAATAGAAAAACACGAAACGACTCTTCTTGGGCTCAGCACCCTGGAAATGTGTCTGCAGGAAGCCAGCGCCTAAAATATCATGTCAAAAATGCTCATACGTGCTTATTCACAGGATGACAACCACAAAAATGCTTCTCGGCCACATTAGCATCCCTGTGAGGAACTCTTCTGCTGAAAATGCACCATCTAGTGGCGCCAGCTTCTTGGCTTCTGGAAAATGTGGCTTTCCTGACAACCTGTTCCAGTTCTAGCCTCTTCACCAACCAGAAGTGTCTAAATAAGGTGGGAAAGCCACTATTATCATGATCTGAATCTGGTTTGGGTGAGAATGTTAACCACCGTAATGGCAATAAAACTGCCAATGCCTCCTCCATGTTTAACTTTCTAAACCTCTCTAGCCTCACATCAAGTTGTGCCTGCCGGGGGTGAGCACCTCCAGGGCTGGGATTTATTTAGCCCATTGTCTCAGCATGCCAGCTGGGTGCCACGGCCTCCAGAGCCAGCTCCCTTCCTCTGCAGGCTCAGGCCCTAAGAGAGCTCCCCGTATCAACTTGCAGGGCCAGAGGAGGACTGTGAGGCCATTTGAGCCTGTTCCTCAAGCCCAAAGGGGGCTTGACAGGTAGATATTTGGCGATCTCACTATGCTTAATACCACCTGTGACCCTGCATGAAAGCTAGGTTTATTTTACCTTTCAAAGAATTAGTTTGTACAGATAAAGACTAGAGGAGTATCTGGCTTTTGGATGTTTTTGTTTTTTTATATCTTCACTTTTTCCTCTTTGGGCTCAGGCCCTTAAAACCACATGGGTTGTGTCCCTCTGCGTCTCCGTGAGGGTTTAGCAGCCTATCCCATTCACTACATTTCCCGCTCACAGATGGTTTCCATAGCTATTATTCACATAACAATACTAGTTCTTTTTAGAGTCTAAGGCATTGAAATGAACTGTCGATTGTTTCTCTTCCTACGGTGTTCCCTCAAGATATTAAAGGTCTAAATGAGTGATTATAACCCAAACATATTTCCTTACTTTGCCTTGAAGTTCATTCTGTTTCTTGAAGGTGAGTATGAAGCAGCCTCATTGGTTCACAATGGACCCTTGGATCTCAAAGCTGACAGCAGCCCCTGAAATGCAGGTCTCAAACTACACTGCTGGCAGTGACTACGCTCAAGTTGAAGACTAAAGATCACCAATTGAGTTTGGGACATACATTAACAATTTCACCAATGAGAACTGCATTAATGATTACCCTTCTTCTCTCTATGAATGGATTTAGATAGGGTCCATTTTCAAGAAACCATGGCTATGCTGAATCCTTAAACTTCTGCACATGTTAAATTTAAGGTTCTGTGAAGAACTATCGCTGTTACTCAAATCCAATTAAATTGAACTAGAGCTGAAATGTGAGAGATAAAAGAGGGGTGGCGATCTATAACTGTCCAGATGCAGTGTGTGTGTGTGTGTGCGCATGTGTGCGCGCGCGTGTGTGTGTATGTGTGTGTGTGTGTGTGTGTGTGGTGAGGGGCAGATACCCAAGACAGCAGCAAACCCAAGGGGTGCTGGTCTTTTGACTCCCCCTCTCCTTATTCCCATTTTTTTCTATTGAATTAAATCCATTTGAAAATGATCTCAAAGGGAGACCTGGATGGCAAAGAAGGAAAGAAATTCCAGGAAGAAAGAGAGAAGGATGTATGTGGAGGGTAGACACATGGACTGCATGTTGTTGAAGGGGTTATGGATTCCTTGTAGGCAGAAAATCTGAGAGCCATCACAGTCCAGCTTTCTCCTCTCTTGGCTGTATTTATAAGCCATTGTCCTGCCAACAAGAGGATGAGAGGGATGAGTCCCACTGTCCGTCCTCCATTGCCTCCCCCAGGAAGTATGGAGGTTCTAGGTGGAGAATTCTGTGCTGCACATGAATGAACAGCAACCAAAGGCAAGACGGAAACAAAAACTCATCTCGAATCTTATCTTAATATGCAATATCAGCACAAATCAATAGTAGCCAAGCTCCAGTGTCCTGTTTGAGAGCACTCATGGGCCCAATTTGAATTCAAAGAAGTACAGGTTATGCAATGAAAGATTTAGTGTAACTGACACACTCCAGTCAGCCCTTGGTAAATCTCGGAAGGTCTCTGAAACACCCACGGTTTGGGAAGCTGACTGCAAGGGGACTCAAATATAGCAGGAAAATATGTGGCTACCAAATTCATTTTATAATCTGCTAAGAAAAGTGGGGTCCGCTGAACCATTCACCAACCACCAATTTTCTCCACATCACCAAGGAAATTTAAAAATGAAAGAAAACTTTGAATGAATAATACAAAAAATAAGAGAGGAACAAGACATGAAAGAAAAATGTCTAATAATCCAGTTTCACTGGCGTGAAACAGACACCAAAAATAGAGAAGGAAAGTCCCAGGCAGCGATGCATTTCCCTTGGGAAGAACTTTCTTTTATTAAGGTGGTTTCTCTGGGTCTTGTTAACTTAAGACTTCTCTCTAAACATGAAACATGAAAGGGTCTCAAAGATGGGAAAACACCCATCTTCAAAGCTTTAAGAACTAGATTATCACTTTCCAACATTTTTTGTAATTAAAAGTATTATCTTTTCAGGAAGTTTATTAATTTCCATGGGATGATCATGTATCAGCTGTAAGCAATTGCTCAAGAAAGGGCTTTTTTTTTTTTTACAATGTTTTCTTTGTTTTTAATCATCCAGCCCAAAATGTCAGGTGAAGGGATTTTTAGCACACCAAAGATTACCAGTAAGTTGGTTGAAACCACTTCATAATAGAAAACTAAATGTATAAAAGATTACCTTTCCATCTAGAATTCAATCAGTATTCAAAGGAAACAAAATATTAACAAGTCATTCATAATACATAATTCATTTTTAGGTGAGCATTACTAATTCTGGCCCTCTGGTGGTCCAGATAAACTCATATTTACTAATGTTACTTAAAGCATCCTTCATTCTGTTCATGGTGCTATTTTAATATGAAAAAATAGAAGTAGGGAAGTCCATAGCTTTTCATCTTAAATATGATCCTTCCTGGGGCCAAACAAATGAACATTATAATCCAACAAATATCTGTTTCTAAGCTACTGAAACTTTAGCATGAGTCAGAAATATAAATGTTAATCTGATGACTGAAAGCTTCCCTTTAACTTTTTTTTTTAAAGAGTAGTCCAGTGGGGTGAGATCCAGAGGGGCTGTGCCTTAGATTATTTATTGATGTAAGCAATATGAGTCGTGTTGATGCTGTCAGTGCTCTGTTAGCCCTCCTCTAATTTCTCAAATGACCTAATTATACATGTTCTCAATATGTCTCAGGAGGAGAAGAATTGCTGATGCTGTTAAAAGGCAAAATGCTGAATATGTTTTGGTGCGTCTCACATTCCAGGGCCTGACAATGGGCATCATTAAAATTACACTTTAACATTCCTCTGGAACATGGCGTTAAACGCTAACATTCCACTGTCAGAAGCGAAACCCACTCTACTGCTTATAAAGAAAAATGTCTGACTTTGACCAGCACGCTGGACGCTAATGCTTACTATTTCGCCATTTATGATGTCTTAAATTCTGTATGTATTTATTCACAAGTACTTAGTGGCCATTTAACATTCCTTCTACCACATCTTATTACTGACAGATGCTGTCTTTGTCCCCTGAGGCTGCTGCAACAAATTACCACAAACCTGGCGACTCAAAACAACAGAAATATATTCTCTCACAGTTCTGGAGGCCAGAAGTTGAGAATCCAGCAGGGAATCGTGGCATCTCTAGGGGAGGATAGATACCTTGCCTCTTCCAGCTTCTGGTGGCTGCGCTGGCGTTCCTGGCTTGGGGCCACATCTCTCCAATCTCTGTCTCTGTGGTCACACTGCCTCCTCCTCTTCTGTGCATCTAGTCTGTGCGAGTATCTCCTTAGGACACTAGTTAGTGGATTTAGAGCCCACCAGATACTCCAGGATGGTCTCCTCTGCTCAATCAAGATCCTTAAGTTAATAACATCTGCAGAGACTCTTTTTCTAAATAAGGTCACATTCACAGGATTGGGGGATTAGGATGTGGGCAGATCTCTTTGGGAGCCACCATTCAACCTGCTGTAGCTGCCAAATTTAAAATGGCAGTGGTTAGTAGCCTCTAGGCAGATTTCTTAAATCTGTGATTTAAATATAAGTTGCACAGCTGTTTTTTTTTTTTTTCCCCTCTAAAAGACCTCAAATAAACATTATATCTTTTGGAATGTAACCTCTTGCATCAGTGAGGTCCATGGTTAAATGCATTCAATTGCTTTAATACAGTTCCTTTTCTCATAAACCTAATAGTGAATGTATTGATTTACTTTTGGTATTCATATGCCACTGAAAGAACAAAAAAGCCCCCAAATCTCCTCTCTCGTCCTCTCTTCGGACAAGACCCTCCAGGTCTTTGTGAGTGGTCCATGGTGGTGAAAAATAATGACGAAAAAGATGTCACAAGCATGAATTTATTTATTATATACTCAAATATTGGGCCGGGCACAGTGGCTCAGGCCCGTAATCCTAGCACTCTGGGAGGCCAAGATAGGCGGATCGCTCAAGGTCAGGAGTTCGAGATCAGCCGGAGCAAGAGTGAGATCCCATCTCTACTAAAAATAGAAAGAAATTAATTGGCCAACTAAAAAATATAGAAAAAAGTTTAGCCGGGCATGGTGGTACATGCCTGTAGTACCAGCTACTTGGGAGGCTGAAGCAGAAGGATTGCTTGAGCCCAGGAGTTTGAGGTTGCTGTGAGCTAGGCTGATGCCAGAGCATTCTAGCCCAGGCAACAGAGGGAGATTCTGTCTCAAAAAAAAAAAAAATCTATCAAGCCCCTACTTGATGCCCCAAATTATTCTAGGCATTGGAAATAGAGGCAGGGGTGGCTTCAGAAGGTGTGACCTATGTATGTATAGGATCCCATGCTTAGACCCACACTTGGTTTAATGCTCTGTTGTTGCCATCTCGAAATTTTTAATAATTTTTTAAACAGAAGCTCTGCATTTTCATTTTGCACTGGACCCCACAAATTATGTAGCCCATCCTGAATAGAGCAGTAAACATTACAAAAAAGGTCCCTGCTCTCAAGGACTTATCAGGGTTCCTGACAGTGGACAGCCAGTGACAGTGCTCCAGGTATAAACACATGATGCTGAGCCCTTTGGGGACAAATCTGAGATTAGACGGTGGAGAATGTGGTATTGCATTTGGTGTATTTTAATGGTATCACAGATTAACTCACACAGTTTCTGATCTTGTCTTCTATCAAAGCTTTCTACTTACTGTTCATAATAAGCTTCGGTTCTCAATTTCTGAGCAGCATCTCCCAAGATACAATCAGAATTTTCTGATTGGCTTTTTTTTTTTAAATAAAAAAGCTTTCAGGGTTAATGACCATCATAAACTTGCTTTCTAATATAGACATTAATTTCAGCATTTTGAAGGGGGGCAAGGATCTTGGAATCATTGCCAACAAGAGCAATATTTTGATAGGAAAATATATTTCAAACTCAATCATGGACATATCTTTCAGAGAAAAGTTAAGTTGTGTAATGTTGCTATTAATGCTCTGGGAAAAGGCTATTCATTTGTACCTCCTAAAGAATTGTTGTCTCAATATTTTCATCACAGTGGAATGCCAGATCATATGCATGAGATCTGGCTCCTTAAATCTTCATGGCTTCTAAGAACAAACACACACATATAATTTTTTTAAATCCATGTTAATCCTGAAAGGAATAAACTCAGAACTGAAGTGGTTGGTGGAAGTTTAATGCAGTTCAATTAAGGATCTGTACCCAAAAGAACAAGTTGTTGCTTTTAGTTCCATTTCCAGATTAGTCACACTAGATATATAGCCACTTTTAACAGCATTGTGCCATTACCAGTGACTTTAATTACTGTTTGGTAATCCTATCTACTTACACCAAATATTAATTAACTCCATCTGGTGGGGGGCATGAGGGGGTTGTCTCAACATATGTTGATTGAAAAAGGCAAATCATAATCTTTATTGTGGCTAATTTTCTCAGATCCTTCTTTCCTGAGGACAGAAGGAGTTGATCACACCATTAATTCTAAAAATTAATTCTAAAAAAAGAACTTATTTTCTCTGTCTGCTTTAATGCCTCTTGTTGGAATCAGCTCACTAACCAGGGGAAACAATCTCTTTATCCTTTCACGATGTTGTCACTGCCTGGGCTTCCTAATGCATCTTCCGATTTCAATTTGTACTGAAAACCAGTGGGAAAAGTTTTACAGAAACTCCAGGAAACAAAGCAGCCCTCCTGACACCAGGGATTTATGATTAAGGGAGGCATCGCGCGTTGAATCAAGTGTACCATTACCCTCACTCCCATGAACCTGTCTTTCAGCACAATCCACGACAGCAAGAAGACAAAGGCTTTGTTACAACAGAACAGAGCAGAGACATCCGTGGCCGTCAGCTTCTTTAAAGCCAGTAAATACAGATAATTAGTCAAAGTCCATAGAATAGAAAAGGGAGCAGTTCTTTTAAGAAAGAGCTTCAATGTCAGACCATCTTCACCAAAAATCCGACTACATTCCCTAGGAAAGAAAAAAGAAGTTAATATCCAGCTACTAACGGTGACACATCTTGTCTAACTCATCACAGCCGTTTTTCAGGCAAGAGCACAAACACTCAAGGCACACCATCCATCTGTGGAATATACCGGACCCAGTCCTGCTACCTACAGGCTTCAGGGAATGCTTGGGGTTCCTCGGAAATGAGCCCACATCTCCCCAGGCACAAAGCTAGGCCCTCTTCTACCTAGATATTCTCTCGAGATTGCAAGGGCAGCCATTCTGCTGTTCTGAACACTCTCAGAGGAGCCTGATGAAATACAGAAATGGGTAATTGCTGACATGATTAGCTATTAGAAGAGGGAGAAGATACTTTCCCAACAGGCACACGAAACAGGGTCAAGGTGGCTGCTACTGTGTGAACAGACTACAGATGACTCATAGAATCTTATAGGACAGGTACCCTCTTATGTCCGTGAAGCCACACCCTGGGATTTTGTTATTTCTAAGACATTATTTCCTCTTTCTTTTTCTTTTTTTTTTAAATTTTTTATTTTTTGAGACAGAGTCTCACTTTTTTGCCCAGGCTAGAATGAATGCCGTGGCATCAGCCTAGCTCACAGCAACCTCAAACTCCTGGGCTCAAGCAATCCTTCTGCCTCAGCCTCCCGAGTAGCTGGGACTACAGGCATGTGCCACCATATATATTTGTTTATATATATATTTTTTGTGTATATATATATATATTTTTTTTTTTAGTTGGTCAATTAATTTCTTTCTATTTTTAGTAGAGACGGGTCTCACTTAGGCTGGTTTAGAACTCCTGACCTCAAGCAATCTGCCTGCCTCAGCCTCTCAGAGTGAGAGGATTACAGGCATGAGCCACCATGCCCGGCCTATTTCCTCTTTCTAATATAGCTGCCCAATTGTCTAATTTCTTTTTTTGCTAGCATTCTGAAGGCAGAAAAATGAAGACAGCCTCTGTGATAACCCTCAAATAGTAAAATCTAAATAGGAAGTGCAGGTTGTATTTATATATAAACATTCGGAAATATTAGAGGAATTATCTGAATTCAGTGTGTGAAAATGGTCACTTCAGTTAAATCTTTGATTTGTTTGATTTCCAATTGAATTGGCTAGCCCGAGGGGCCATCTTAATAAAAATGTTTAAGCTACTGATAAGTACAGGCAATAATGAAAGTGGTATAAGGACAGTGCCTGTAAGACTGTGGACTGAAAACAGACTCACCACTGGGAGAATTTAGCTTTCTTTTTTTCACTCAGTTGGTGCATGAACCTTCAAACATTTACTAGGCAACTATCATGTGCCGGGCACTGTATTTTCAGAAATAGTATAAATACTCTTGTTCAATGCAACAAGTTGTTAATATTTGCTCATGTTTATAATGAATCTATTTGCATGACTATAGATAGTATTAGTACCACTTTCTCTTCCAGTTTTTACTGGTGAGAAATCATTGTGCCTCAAAGTATTGCAAATCAAAGTCAATTCTAGTCAATGTCTGCCTCACATGTATGAAGTCACTTACCCCACAGAAGGTCCACATACAATAAGGAAGTGATAAAGGCTTTAGACACAGGGAGCATGGCCTTACATATCAACTCTCATAGTAAAGGTTGCCTTCAAATAGCTGTGAAAGCTGGGAGTTTTAGGTCAGTGATTCTAGGAAGGTTAAAGACAAGTATTACACACATAGAGACTTGTACAGTGATTCGTTTACTTTCATGTAGGAGACAATCCAAAAGGAAGGCTTTTCATAAAATGAAAATGAGATTTCTCAAAAGTAAATTTTAACTTGAAAGAGACAAAATTTCAACGAAGGGATTAAATAACCTAGAGCCTTCTGCAAAGTAAACAGAAATTATACTTGCTCACACACACACACACACACACACACACGCACACACACACACACACACGCACACAGGAAAATGAATAGTCTCTCTACAAGCCCCATAGCCAGCAGGATATTCTGAATCAGTGCCACACATAGACCAAGTGGCAGTTTTCAGAGTAGCTGGGCACAAAGTTTGTATTCTGTCCTTAAAGGTATCTGCTCTGTGGGAAAGCTGCCGCGTAGAGCTATAGTTGAGAGTTGTGGGTTTATTTCATCATCTGCAACCACTGAATGCCTTTTAACCCTTTGCTCTCGGATGTCGAGTGTGACTCGACATGGTTAGCAAAAATTATAGAGATTAAAATTACTCTTTGAATGTATCAATAATTTGAAACATAAAAAAATCCAAATAAATAAGTTTGCATGAAAAGAAACTCCAGTTTTTTGTTCTACTGCTGCGCTTTGTAAAATCTGGGATATTTTAAAAAATTAAATCCCGAGTAGAATAAAGGAATCGAGAAAAAAGCAAGCGAGTGCAAAGGGTTAAAATATGTGTACATTTATCAAGAACCATAAAGATCCTCATTTCTGATTAAAGGATTTCTTTTTCTTATCGCTGGCCCTGGCCAGTGATGTTCTTCCTGCCCAGAGAGCCCACCATCAAGCTGGGTGGAGGGTCTCAAGCAAAGACTTTGGATGCAGGCGAGAGAACACTCCAATCCTGCAGGGAGGACCAGTGGATGCAGAGGGACAGAGAGAGCCTCATAGGCAAAGTGAGACCACTCTCACCTGACTCGTCCTGCCTCCAGGTGTTTGTGCCCTCCCTATTCCTCTTTCTTTTCCCTTCTCCTCTCACTGCCAGCTTTCTCCCCTTTGTCACTGCTGTTGCAGGAATTAAAAATGCTCTCCCTCCAAATGCCAGGTCACCTACGCTAACCTATGGTAAAACCTATGCTATTTAAGCTTTAAATGCTAAGAAATGTGAAAACTGAAAAAAAATTTTTTTGTGGAGAAGCAAATAATAGTGGGTTTCTCTTTGGGTCGAAGACATCAAAATTTCTGGACAAGAGGCATTAAAAGGGCGGCAAAGCTTGAAATGAAGCTTAGAAGTTGAGAAACACTAATAATTAATTGCACTCATCATTATAACAGCAGCAACTCGTTATTGAAACCTTTCTGTATGTCAAATAGCATAACAAGCACTTTCAAAGGTGCCTGACATAGGCAAATCTTTGGCTCTAATTTCATGCTTTCTAGAGATTTTTTTTTCCCCTAAAAAACACCCTTGTTAATACTGTGGTATATAATTTTTTCTTCCTAAATTTCAAATTCACCTGAGGCCATTGAATTCTCCTGGTAGTACATAAATGGAATTTTTGAATCATCAAAAACTACTTTTGAACAGACAACCTTTACTATCTTGATTTGATACTTTGTTGAAACTTCTTTTGATGTTAGTGATAAGAGAAAAACTGAAAATGCTTTCACACCATTCAGGGGAAAATAGTCAGAGGCCCTGGCACAATGGGACAAATCCTATTTCCTGTCTTACACACTAACTCTATTTTCCCTTGTTGAGCCATGAGAGCTTTGGGAGTAACGTCTTGGCAGATAGTGTTAATGAGTCTGCAGGGGAAAAAAGATCAAGGATCTAAGAATTTTCTGACAATTTTTACCTCTCCAATGGAGAGGGCCACTGGAGAATATTCCCTTCAAAGATAGTATTTTCTGCTTGACAATAAAAACTCTTTGATTCTATTTTAAAAATGGTCAACTTAACTCTGCCCACACTAATAGGTGGAGGTGTCTTGTCAAATCATAGATTTTGCAAAGTTCAGAGTTAGTCTGACATGAGAGATGTGGAAAAGGCGAAGCTCATTCCCAAAGGAACATCTCTGCTATCAGCAGCCTCTTATTATAAATCAGTTTTCTTAAATCAAAATAATTTGTCTTGCTTTGAGGTACTCTTATACTAAACCTTGTATTGTTTTTAATCAATATGTGTGTCTAAATTATATAAGCATTCAAGTAGAACATATACACTATATGGGTATATGCAGGTATTTTCAAACAGGGACAGTTTTGGTCTCATAACCATGTTCTCCAGCAATCACTTATTGAATACTGTCATTTTAAAAAAGACTTATGCCCCAAGATCATGTCTATTTTGATGAGAATCAAATACAAAATATCTTTATCAATCACAAATAGATATAGGCCTTTATCCTTTCCCCAAAACCAGAAAACATTTATTCTTTCTGACTTCTTTTTTGTTTCTTTAATTATCATGAGTTTTCACAGACATATATAGAAAATTAACTCATGGTATGATATTAATCTTCTTCACCACTTCCAAGTTGGGGATAGAAAATGGAAGTTGAAGATAAACTCTTCATGGTCTGTTAAGTTTTTAACAACAATCTTATAATGCACCAATTATAATAGTCATTCTCCTTTTCATTAGATACATGGGCAAGAAAGAAAGATCCTTTCAGCTCCTGCAAGACAAATTTATTCTGCTGAGAAGCAATAAGTAGGTGTGGGGAACTGTGCTGTCTCATCTGCCCTCCTCTGAGGTCCTTCACTACTGTTTTTCTTGGTGATCAGAGCCAAGCAGCCTTCCTGGAAGTTATTCCTTAGTGTTGGGCTTTTTCTTTTCATGGAGCTGTTCACTAACAAAGGTACTTTGACCCCCAAGCTGCCTTTCTTGAGTGCTGTGCAGGGTTGTATGACATTAGCCCACTCAGCTTCCTGAGCTCTCTAAGAGGGGGCTGTAGAAACGAAGATTAGCACAGAACAACCTAGAACCACGGGACTCCCAAGTAAGCCCAACCACCACTGTCCATAGCTAGTGAAGACACAGTCAAGGCGCCATGTGCTTCTAGCCAGCCAAGTTTCCCAGGGCCAAACCTCCCATGGCGTGAAATCAGGTCATTCCATCTGCTTTGGTAACAGGTATCAGGAATGTTGAACAAGTATTTATATAACCATTAATCCAATTAATACAGCTTTTTTCCCCCTGAGTCTGAGACACTAGAATGTTCTTTTGAGACATGACTTTCAGAAACAAATAGATCTGGAATTAAATCTGAGTTCCATTATTTATAAGTGTGTGCTCTTGGATGAGTCATTTAAATTTTCTGAACCTGTTCCCGCTTGTGTAAAATTGGGGATAATAACACCTCCTTAAAAGGTGGATGCTGCCACCAGTGATGATGAAATAAGATCAGATATGCAAAAGCACCAGTTCAGGGTAGACACAATTTTTTTAAGGGAGAGATGACTCTGCTTTTTAGTTTTTGTTACCTGCTTCTCCACACTCCCCCAAAGAACTTAACTTATTATATACCCAAGATATAAAAATATGCATTAGACATATTTTCAAACATCTCCTAGTGACCATTTAACATGAAACCTACCTGAATTTTTTCATTGGAGATTGCTTTTCTTGAGCAGTGGCCAGATGACCAGAGTAATAGACTGGGAAAAACATAATGTTCCAGTTTGTTGAAAACCAAGTCATGAAAAATGGGCAATAGAAGTTCTTATAAGTAATTTTTACAATCTGTGTGGTTCCAACCCAAGACGATGATACTGACAAGATGATTAAGAGTCCCCAGATGGCCTTCAGAACCACAGACGTGCAGGACAGGCAGCGAGCCTTGAGTCTGTTTTCTTGGCTGCTGTTCTCAGAATGAGTCTGTGTCCCATCGTCCGCTGAAAACAGGAAAAGAATACAAATGTGTGGAAATCAGGTTATAAAACAGCAATCAAATGTGTCAGCTCCTTAAGAAAGATAGATGAAACCAAAGAGGCGGACAGTAGAACCACCAGTGTTTTTCTTTTCTGCCATCATTTGAAGGATTGATAACTCCGGCTCCTCTTTCTCTCTGGCATCTCTGCTCTACAAGGTACAGTGTGTACCTGAACCCCCATCCAGTCCACGTGGGCGCTCACGAACTTGGTGGATGCTACGCTGTTCTCTAGAGTGCACTGTCCCCTTCCTCGTAAGAGCATTACACATCTCAGCCCCCGAAGACTTTGGCCTTGGCTGTGTGACCTGCTTTCTCCAATCAAGCGTGAACGGATGTGGGGCATGTCAGCTTCCAGAAGAAGCTTCAAGAGGCATCCCCACCGCCCCACCAGCTCTCTTGCTCCTCCCCTCTGTCACCAAAATACAAAATCCCAAACAGAAGCTGTTCTCTCTGTCTATGTGGGGAATGAGCAGAACCTAGCCAAAGCCGTTCTGTATCCACCAGCATGAGAAGTGAGTGAGAAATAAATATTTGTTTTCATATTCCACTGAGATTTAAAAAAAAAAAAACAAAAAACTGCAGCAAAGATGATTATTAAATTGAACAGCAATATGTCCCAAGAACAGAGCAAGCCCTGATTACACAAAGCCATTTCTACTTCACAACAAATTACTATTTAATGTATCTCTGGGAGCACAGTAAGTTCCCCTTTGTACTTCTACATTTACTAAGAAAATTTAATAGCATTTTCTTTTCATATCAAAATAGCCAGAGCTCTCTGAAAGCAACATTCATAGAGGCCTTCTCTCCTGCTGGAAAAAACAAGTTCAGCTTAATGAATTCATGTACCTATTAGGAAATTAAACAGGAGTAGAGGTCACTGAGTCCCCCAACTGATCCCAGATGGCAGAATCCTTGGGGAGGAGGCAGAGTCGTCTGCAAGATTCTCTTGCCTCTCCAGGCACCTCCCTTAAGCACAAAATCTATTCTGGGGTTTAAGAAAGTGGTGAAGCCCACAAATTGCAAATGGTAGTGAATGGGGTCTCTCATTTATTTTTTCTCTAGAACATTCTAGCCCTCCTGCTGAATGCGTTCCTACTGCTTAATGAGCCAGGCATGACTGCCCCACTGTGCTAAAAACCTTTATCTAGTTAAGGCTTTCTGATGTAATCATTTGGGGGGGGGAGGAGGAAGCAGGCTTTGAAAGTAAATTCTTCACTAGGTAATATAAACTGAGTAACTGTGAACATAGCAATTACTGTATGACTTCTAAGCCACAGTAAAAATACTGAATTCTCAAGGCCTATGGCTCTGGAAGATCAAAACTGGAATTCTTTTATTCATTTATTCAACAAAATCTTATGGAAGCTCTATCAGGAGCTAGTTAGCTAGTTGGGTCTCAGGGGTTCAAAAATGAAAGATTTGAGCTCATGGTCTAGTGGAAAGCCAGCAAACACATTCAATACAGTGTGGGAAAGGGCCAACTCCAACAGACGCAAGGCCATGTGAGACGGAGAAGCACTTGCTAAGGGGTGGGGTGGGAAGTGCTCAAAAGAAACTTCTGTGATCCAGTGACATTAAGATGAGTCTGGGAATATGAGTGATGCTAGCTATCTCCACTATGTACAGATGATACCTGCTCTTGATAACAGTTCTGCAAATTTCCTCTCTGACCATTTGCCTTATGCGGAGAATAGAGGGGAAAAAATTAGGATAAATAAAAGCAGACAATGAGGGACTCTTGTGTTTAGAGGCTAGGAAAGGAACACAACTTATTGTATTGACAGATATTATCATTCCCACTTTACAGATGAAAAAGTGAGATGCATGGTAAGGGTTGTCCAAGGTCAAACCCAACCCAAATCAGTATGACCCCGTGAGGGGTCCAAACTTAGTTCTGAATACTCATATGTCACAGCTTTCAGCCTTTAGCTTTGCATTCAAGCACTGGAAGCTTCAAAAATGGTTTGGAGAAAAAGTTGGTTTTTTTTTTTTTCTTTGCAGAAATGGTAGTCTTGTGTGAGATTTAAGAAGTGATACTTTAGAGAAAGGTATACCCTACTACATTTCAAATCTCATTACTTCCAAGGACTATCTCACAAATGAGGAATAATTTTACAAAGATTTTAAGTATCCCCTTGAGGTGGTGTCTGTCTTCATTGTGACTTTCTTTGAAGATTATATCTATATCACTATCATATCAATGGATAGTGCTTTTGATGATATTAATACCAATAATCACCTAAATCCCTTCATAGTATCATAGTATTGATCTCATTATTTATCTGTTAACTAGGCTAATTTTGCTGATTTTTTAATTTTACAAAGCATAGAAAGATTGGATATCCAGAGCTCTTAGTTTTATGTTCATTTAAAACATGATTTTCTATAGTACTATTTAGATTTATAGTTTTGTATATATAGATCATGTAAATTAGTTTATCAGAAATTCCATCCATTTCTATGAAACTTTATTGGAGTTATGCAAATTCATGGTAGAGGCTGATGAAATTTGGAAACATGAGTTTAAGTCCTAGCTCTGCCACTGTATGACTCTGAGAACATGTTGTATTCCAGTCTTAGCTTCTTTTTCTATCAAACAATGATAATATCTATGTCATGGGATTCATTTTGAGATTAAGTACCATAATATCCATGAAAGCATAGTGAGCTGCTTTTCAGATTATTCTCCTGTTCTCTCTTCTCTTTGGTGCACTGGAATATCCCCAAGAGTTTAATAATCACAGAAAGAGTAAATTATGTTCCATGTGGTCTTTAATGGTATGGTCTTTGAAATTTGTAATCTGTATGTGACAGGGCACATTTTTATTAACAAACATATTTCATTAACTGGAATAATCTATTTCACAAACAACAGGACAATAGGAATATCACTATAATTTATTAAAGCTAATTAAAAACTTTCTGAAGATTTAAGAATATTTTCCTCACTTTTTTTAAAAAATAATTTTAGCTTTGGGGTTCATATAGTTGCTAAGAGACCATTTCAAAATATTATTTTGAAAAATATATTTTCTTATACAAAAAAATCTATTCTAAAATTAGTAGGACACTCAAAGAGGCTTTCACAACTCCTCTAACCCATTGTTTATCCTCTGTCCCTAATTGAATCCTCTGAGCTGCCATTTTTCCTTCTTTTTTTAAAGCCAGTTTTCTCAAAGTTCTGAGGTTGGTTTGTTGTTGTTGTTTTACTACCTAGTTATTTTAAATGGCATGTTTTGCTGTTTTTGCTGTTGTTGTTACTGTTTTTAAGGCTAAAAGAGACTTGAGTATGCTGCCAGCCAAGCTGAAGGACAAAGGGAAAGGGAGAGGTTGAAAATCCAGGCAAGAGAGATGCTAAGGAGGTGACCATGGACACAGGTAGAGAAGCTAACACCAGAAAGGTAGAAAGACACACAAGCCAAAAGTCACCCCACCATGACGGTACTTGGTAAACAAAAGCACAGAGAAATTCTGAGGTAGAGAGGAAAGTGTTTGTTAGCAAACAATTGTTATGCTCTATCTGGAAAGGTGAAAGTACGGTCACGCGATGAGAGGAAGTGAATATGACTTGAAGCTTGAGAGTATTCTCTGGGGAAGGCAACACGATGTCCACCACCAAGAAAAGTATTTGGCAGCATCCTGGTGGACCCACCTGCAATTAAAAATTATAAATTTGCTGAGAAACTCATGGTCATAGTTATGGATTTATCCGTTTAGCAATTCCAGTAACCTAGGAGGTGGTGAGTGGTACGTGGATGTGAGGAAAGGCTAAAGGTCTTGATTGATCAGAAAATGCTGAGGAGGGAGGACAGTGCAGTCCCCTGCAAGAAGTGTGACATTGGGGAAACTAGAAGGGCTCCAGGGAAAGGGAGTCCTGATGAGGACCAAAGCAGGTTCTGTGATGTTACTGGGGTTTTTATTCTTTTCACAATGAGCACAGTGTGCTGTTACTGAATCCCAGGGCTGAGATGTTATAAAAGATGTTGGGTTTTTGACACTTTGAAGATGAAAAAACTAGCTACCTTGTAAACTTCCTTAGAGGTCATTGTCCAACCATATGTTAAGTTCTTCAACAGGTTTTGGTGTTTGGTTTCTCTGCTACACTATATACCTCTAATATTACAGATTGTAGCTATACATTTCCATTCTTCCTCCACCTTCCACTTGATAAACCTTCCCCATATCCATGCATCAAAATCTATGTGACATCTCTGCATTCTGTGCCAATGGTGAGATCTGTCGCAGCTGGTTAAAAGGTTACCAAAACACACCAAGGCTCCCACATACCTGATCTGTTTTGTCTCTCAACTCTATGTCCACAAACTCCTGAGGATCCTCGGCTCTGAAGTTCAAGAATAGGAGCAGAGGAATCTTCTGTGACAGAGAGAGGGGAGAGTTGTCTACTGATGCCACTGTGTGAACTGGGGCAGTTGGCTCCTGGTTTACATCGAGTGACTGATGATCTGGAGGTACCTGGAAGACAGAGTTCATACTGATTTTGAGAACTTCTTGGAGAACAAATTGGAAGCAAATTGTAAATGCCTTGGCAGTAAAATATATGGCAGCAACAAGCACAGTCCTGATGAGCTCATTACAGATTCTATAAAGGGGCTCCTAAAATGAAAATGCTATGTTGGCAAGGTCTGTGTCTCTGAGATAAAGAGTCTTTTTAGATAAAATCATTAACAAAGAAATGAACATTAGGAGATGGTATATGGGTTGCTACTTGTGCCCTGAATCAAAATTGTTAACACAGCCAAATATTATGGTTTAAAGCAAGGAAAACAAAGCGTTATGTTATGCATGCTTCCACTCTTTTCTTTTCAAGGCTGACTGTCAAATTCCTAACTGGGAAGACTGCCAATAGTGTTTCCTATCAAATCAACTGTACATTTTGCCACCAGATTGATCACTAAAATCCAATTTTGTTGTGCCTCCCCAATCACCACTAGCCTCTATCCAATGTTATAGATGAAAACCCAGCCTCCAGGACAAGGACCCCACAGACCAAGGCCCCTCGGATTCTGATTAATGGTCCATGAATCCCCAAGGCTTCATGGGCCTGCAAACAGTGCTGTCCACAGGGCGCTGTGCTCAGAAGGGCCCGTCCCAGCAACCCCCATCCTTTGTCAACACTGAGAGATTAACATGGGTACATCGCTATTCACTAAACTCCAAACCTCATTTAGATTCCACTAGTTTTATCACTGGTGTCCTTTTTGTATTTCAGGACTTCATTCAGGAGACCACATTCCATTCAGTCATCATGCCTCCTCACCCACCTAGGGCCTGCAACAGTTTCTGAGTCTTTTCTTTGTTTGTAATGACCTTGACATTTCTGAGGAGTATGTTGAAGTATTTTGTATTGATAGGATTTCCCTCAATCCAGGGTTGCCGGATGTTTTCTCTCATGGCTATATTGGGCTCAGGGGTGGGGTAGAACACCACAGAGGGGAAGTATCCTTATCATGTACTGGCAGTCATTGCATGCTACCAATATGACTTGTTACAGGTGACATTAACTGCGACCATCTGGCCAGGGTAGTGTTTGCCAGGTGTCTCCACCGTCTTTATTTTTTCCCTTCCCATACTCTATCTTTTGGTAGCCTGTCACTGAGTCCAGTCCACACTCTGGAGTGAGGGATGGCGGTGCTAAACGTCGCCTTCTGGAAGGAGTGTCTACACATATTATTTGGGATTCTTCTGTAGAGAAAATCTGTCTCTTTTCCTTCCTTTATTTATTCGACAATTTATTTATTTATTAATAGATTTATGGACTCATGAATATTTATTTCACACTTTTTGGGTTAGGATCAAACCTGCCTTGTTTATTCTTTTGCTCAACTTATTCCAGCTTTGGGTATGGAGAGCTCTTTCAGATTGGCTTCTGAGTTCCTTTAACGTGTCCCTATTTTCTTTTGTTTTTGAGCTTCTCCTTACTTTCTGGCATTATAAGATGCTCTAGGCTCATCTTTTATTCTCCCTTCCCCGCTCCTAGAATCAACCATTTCTCCAAGGATTCCTGTTTCTCTAGAGAAGAGTATTTACAAACTAGTATCAGCCTGTGGGTAAGCTCACTGGTATCGGCCCTCTCAGTTGTCAGAACTAGAAAATATGTGCATGTCAACTCATATATATATGCATAGCCATAATTATTTATATATATCATACACTCTTTTTATGGTTTCTAAGAACCAGTAAAATGTTCTATAGATAGTGTGACCTCAAAGCACACTTATTAACTCTGATATGGATCGACTGGGGTGATTAGATGCAGAGTACCAAAATTAACCTGGACACTGATGGACATTATCTCTAAAATAGGTATACTTCTTTGACCACTCAGAGCATTTGTGCTTACTCTTCCTTGTGAGTTATGAGTTTCTTTATTCTCACTGATACACATTGGAAAATAGAGGCTCTCCTTCCTTCATGGGTCTTTGTCTTGATGTGGTACTTCTGAGATGATAGGAAGGAGGTCAAAAATGTCGAATGAAAACAAAAATCTTGGAATATCAATGATATCCTGGCTTTCACTTGTCACTGAATCCATCACGTTATGTATTTGGTGAGTAATCACTTGAAACAATCAAATCAGAACCTTGAGAAACAGTGGTGTCCAGTAAAAAAGAAAGTTTGAGTTCCTGAACCATTAAGAACCAACATGAACCAAGAACCTCTAACAAGAACCAAGCAGAACAGTGTAACCTTAGGTGAAAGTGTTAGTTCCACCATCAAGGCCTCTCCATCCATGACAAAAGCTTGTCTTATTTTCATTTTTCTTTTTCTTTTTTTCCTTCTTAATCTTGTAAAAAATAAATAGAAGTATATAAAAATGTATTTATCTATACCATCTATTATTAAGTGTCTTAAATTGAGCTAATTAAAATTTATTATTTAATCTTGAATTTAAAAAATATACAGCTACTCAAAAAGTCAACAGAAGAACCACATACTGATTACTATGCTTAAATTAATGCTATGTTAATATTATTATTATAAAAGTGTCAAAATACATAAGGTTCTTATTTTACATATCCAGAATATTTACTGTACCTTGCACAACTGTTTCTAATTGAATAGTCCAAGTTCAATAAAAAGAGGCTGCCTGAAATTCAGTGAACTCTTAATTATTCATGCTCTTCAAAAGGGGCTAATGTTCAGATACTCCAAGAGTTATTTTATTTTATTTTATTTTTTTACATTTTTATTTTATTTCAAGATAATATGAAAGTATGAATGTTTTGGTTGCATTTTATATCTTTGCCTCTCCCTAGCAAGGGTTAGAGGTATGCCCTTCCCCTAACAATGCTCTCCACATCCCTCAGATGTGGGTCTACCCTCCCAACCCCCGAATCTCTGGTGAACACCACCACCCTTTGAGCACCATAGTGTTAATCAGTCAGTACCAATTTGATGGTGATTTACACATGAAGCCCATTTTTCTAATCTTATGTCACCTCACTTTGGATAATGGGCTTAAGCTTAATCCAGGATAATATAAGCGGTGCTAGCTCCCTGTCCTTTCTTATAATTGAGTAATATTCCATTGTAAACATATACCAAATTTTAATAATCCACTCATGAATTGATGGGCACTTGGGTTGTTTCCACATCCTTGCAATAGTGTTTGCCATAAACATTCGGGTGCGGGTATCTTTATAATAGAGTGTCTTATGCTCTTTGGGGTAGATGCCTAATAATGCTATTGCTGGGTCAAATGGTATTTCTATTTTTAGCTGTTTGAGGTATCTCCAAATTCTTTTCCACAAAGGTTGCACTAATTTGCAGTCCCACCAGCAGTATAAGAGTGTTCCTGTCTCTCCACATCTTCACAGCATTTGTTGTTTTGGGAATTTTTGATACAGGCCAATCTCACTGGGGTTAGGTTAATCATTTCTCTAATGATTAGAGATGTCGAGCATTTTTTTTTATATGTTTGCTGGCCATTATTCTGTCTTCTTTGGAAAAGTTTCTGTTCATTTCCATTGCCCATTTCTTGATGGGGTTGTTTTATTTTTTCTTGTTAATTCTTTTGAGTTATAGATAGATTCTTGTTATTAAACCTTTATCATACCTGTAGAGAGCAAATATTTTCTCCCATTCTACAGGTTGTCTACTTGCTCTAATGATAGTTTCCTTGGCTGTGCAGAAGCTTTTTAATTTGATCAGATCCCATTTGTTTATTTTTGTTGCTGTGGTGATTGCTTTGGGGGTCTTCTTCAAGAAATCTTTGCCTAGGATGATGTCTGAAAGGGTTTTCCCAGCATCTTTTTCTAGGATTCTTAAGGTTTCAGCCTTAGATTTAAGTCTGTTATCCATCTTGAGTGGATTTTTGTGAGAGGTGAGAGGTAGGGGATCATGAATCATTCTTCTGCATGTAGCTATTCAGTTTTCCCAGAACCATTTATTGAAAAGAGATTCTTTTCCCCAATGTATATTTTTGTCTGCTTTATCAAAGATTAGGTTACCATATGCAGATGGTTTCATCTCTGGAGTCTGAGTCCAGTCCTATTCCAATCCAAGAGTCTTTTTAAATTTATCTTTCAAGTATCTTTTAAAATTTATTTTTGTACATAATATGTGCCTCCTCATCTTTTCTCAGGTTAACAATAGGGTTCATTTAGTGATCACTTGGCAATTGTAGGTGCAAAGGGAGGAAGTCTAGAAATAGATTGGGTAGCAAGTGGAGATGGGATCAAGATAAAATATTGTCCATAGTTCCCTAAAAAGGTGGTAACTTGTGTGTAGCTAGCAAGTGTTGAATTTGCAAACCACACCAGTGATTTATCTTGCTTCCTCATTTTCACTGAAATATTATGTCCTGGTTTCTGTACTTCCTGTTTCTAAGGCAGTGTACCTCAAAGCCCATTCCCTGCCACCAGCTGCCTCCCACTGGTCAGTTTGTGGAAGAGACCCGAGGATAGTTCAGCCACAAGAGATAATGTAATCATGTCCTAAAAAAGGCAAACCTTAAACTTCAGAGCCAGGCCTAGAGGCACATTCAGACCAGGAAGTAGTTATCTCCCATCATGAAAATGAAGATACTGTCTCATCCTCTGTGGTCTTGTACCACTCAATCTAATGCCAACCCTGACAAAAATAAATATTCAGAATGTTGTCTGGGATGCAGTCAAAGATCATAAATAAATTGTATCTATTTTCTATTTTATATGCCACAGTGAGTGCCTGAGTGGAAGCAGGGATTGCAAATTCAGTTAGTGAGCAGTGTTCAGACTTTAATAGGTATTGAGAGTAAGTTGTATTAGGAATGATGGGCTGGAAGTCTCTTATTAGTCACACCAGGTGGTCCCTTTATCCCTCTTAGTGACATGTGTTCACCTGACCCATAGCAATAGGACCATCTTGGGCCATTTTCTTATTTGTACAGTCAAGAGAATATGATTTCTTTATCTGCATTGGTTGGGCTCTGCATGCTCCCACATTTAATTTGATTCAACAAGTAGTTATTG